TTTGCTTGGTTGCGTTTCAAGTGCAAAACTATTTGCATTCATAAGCAAATAAATCAACAAATGCCTTTTGTAGTAGCGCATTGGGCAACAAACTTGGCCACTTTGTTTGCAGCATGACGCGTTTAGCGTTTGGCATCGAATGTATACTATGTATGTATTTATTACATCATATTTATTTTGGCAATACTTTAAACTGTTTTATGTTAGCTGCCAAGCCAGCTGCAAATCGTAAATATTGAAGAGCGCTCTCTATTGATGATGCTGAAGATGATGATGCTGACGCTGATGCTGAGGCGCCTGAGACTCTATGGAAACTATACTACATAGGAGTATAGAGTCGAGTGGCCTATCTGCAAGTTCCCAGGCTAGCTCACAAGTCAGTTGTCGTTGTTGTTGTCGTTGTTGCTTCTGCTGCTGCAAGCTGGCAATGTCAATTCTAGCAAAAATTTGAATATCGCATACGAGCTTATAAAAAAGTGGCTAGAAGCTACACACACATACAGACACACATATTTGAAATGTGGCAAAAATAGGCAAGACAAACGGCTTTCATGCTTTTCATGTTCATGCTGATGTTGCGCATCAACAACAACAACAACAACAAGAACAACAGCAAAAGAATCAGCAGCATCTTTGGCAGCAGCTCCGCGTGATCTTCATCAACGGCTCGGCTTGGCTTGGCTCACACTCATCTCGCTCACCATCAGACAGACGGAGGGATAGACGGACAGACAGACAGTTAGTTGGAGGACTGTATAGATACAGCTCTAGGCTTCAACTTCATCTCCATCTCCAGCCAGTAGATATATATTTTGTTGCTGCTTTTGCGCAGGTGTTGGATAAATATCAAAATAGTGCAAAATCGTGCATACAAAATTTGTACGTGATGCCATGTTGTAGGTGTCGGTTTCGTTTTCGGCTGCTGTTGTTGTTTCTGGGGCTGCTTGCTTTTTGTCTAATTTAAAAAACCGACAAAAAGAACAGTCGAAACAAAAGGAAACAACAACAAAAACAAAAAGAAACGAACAACAAACTGTAGCTATCTTTGTGTACAGATAAGTAATGCAGTACATGAAATGCGTGGCTCATTCAAATTGCTCAAGTTTGGCATTATCATTATCAAAAGGCCTCACACACTCGTACTCGTAGACCCAATCCAACATTTCGACGTCATTAAAAAACGTTTAAAGCACATTTTTGCGCCTTTATTAACTCTGGCATTTGAACAAAGGCTCTTTTCGGTTGCCATTGGCCTCAGCCTAACAATATTATTATTATTATTATTATTATTATTATTATGATTAAAATATCTCAGGCAAAGAAAAAGAGAAAAAAAGAAGAGAAGTAGGTAGTTTATTTTGTTAACTTGATGCCGCTATATTTCATTATCTATTGCGTTGTTTGTTTAAGTAGCCAACGCCAACAACGAGCGACGCTGCCGCTGTACAATGTTGTATTGAATTGGGGCCGCCTTTGTTGCTTTTGTTTTCATTACGGTTTTTCAAATCAAACTGCTCCACATATTTAACGCATTCACACACACACATGCACACACAAACTCTGTTTATTTTCATAAGGTCTCGACTCGGCTTAGGACACACCTTAAAAAGCCACAGAGTAACCGCAAGCACCGAGCCAACTAACCACCGTCTTATATATACATACTTGTATAATTTTTTTTTTCGTTTTTGTAGGCGCAATTTAAAAATATTGTAACTGGCCACAAAACTATGCACCTTTTAAATATTTGACTTGCCAGTTTTTACGATTTGTTTTAAATAAAAGCAATGACAAGCCACAAAAGTATTAAGCGCATTACCAACAATAATAATAATATTACAAAATTGAAGGGAATTATTAAGTCACAGATCTAAATACTCTTTAAAATAATGTCAACCAATTATAGTTTTTTGTATTCCATTTATAATTCCTTTTTTGTGGCCTTTTAACTCGAGTTTGGTTCTTCATCAAATATGAAGTTTTAAGAATGTTTGCGTTTTCTTCTTGATGTCGACTTGGAACAATATCCAATACTTTTCAGATAGTTTTGAAGCTCCTTTTCAATTTTTCCAATCACTTTAAAGGTGTTTTTAGTTGCTTTTAAAATATTTTACAACTCTGTTAACGAGTGACTAACTTCTAAAGATTTCTCACATTTTTCATTAGTTCTAAACCATATTTATTTTTGGTATTTTTTTAATGCGGCTCATAAATGGTCAATTTATTTTTTAGCAGAGATTTCACTTTATCTTTCAAACACTCTTAAAGGATACAATGAATAAAAATGCACTCAAGTCGTCTCTTAATTTCAATATAAACTGAAAACAATCAGGCTTAAGAAATACTCTAGACTTTCCACAATCTAAAGCAGATAATGAAAGCCCATTTACAAGTTGCAAAGTTCTATTTAAAATTCATGTTACCATATTCTGTGTAGAGTATAATCTTATTGCATTCATACCTTATTGCTCGTAATAATAAAGGCGCAGCTAAAAAGTTGTGTATTGCCTTTGCATTAAAATCGGTAAATAATTCACGCCATTAAGCGTTCGTCGATCTGTCGAACCAACGATCCATTTTAAGTGGAATTTTAGTACCTCGTGTAGCTTTACAAAGCCTTACAAGCTGCCTAAAACGTATTCAAGTTGTTTGCTTTATTTGCTGCCGATAATATTGTTGTTGATGCCTGAGTTTCTGTTCACAATTTGGCTGAAATATTTATAGCACAATTTTGCCGATAATTTGCTGCTTAAAATGTTCACACCGTCAACAAGGGCCTACAGATTTTGATTCCTAAACGTAAATTATTTAAAATTATAAATAAATAAACTACCGAGAGTTCATTTGCATATGTATGTTAGTTTGAAATTTACGTTGGCCCTAAAACTAATAAAATTGTGTAAAGCAGTGTGAGAATATCTATTTATACAAATCTCTGCATAATTGGTACAAATTTTTTGGTGTGAAAAGAAAGTTTCAGCCGCGGACCATGAAATGCTTCGACTTTCAGATCAGCTTCAACTTCCGCAAAAAATGCGTGGTAAAAAAGATAAATAAATAAAAATAGAAGCTCACTTCAGAGGGTATCTTCAAAAGTTGTTTGTAGATGAGAACTAGTCGGAAAATAAAAGCAGTAAGGAATTGTAAAAAGATTAAAGTAATTCTTCATTCGTTATAGTCCCGGGATGGGTAGGGCTAGGGTAGCTTCAGAAAAGAACTCACTTATTAGTTGTACCAACAGTAAAAAATAAAGCGACTAAATGGTAAATACTTTGAACTTGTGCGAAACATTGTTATTCGTATTGTAATTTAAGAGAAGAGCTAAGAACTTTTTTGCCTACCTTTCTATGGCTTTAATATTATGCGAGTATTTTTAACGGATCAAGTTTGATATTCATAAGCAACTGGCAATCGCGTAGGTATTCAAAGAGCAGTAATTTGGCTTTGAAAATACTTTTTAAATGCGATTATTCAGGTTGGTAGAGCATCTTTTTTTCCGAATAAAGATGTTGACAATTCATAATTTGCGAAACTTGATCGAATAATATCTGCTATAGAGGTGAAAATACAAAGCCCTTTTCGGTTCAAAGTTCAGTTTAGGGCTTGACATTTGTGTTAATAAAATGTTTTCTACACAACACTAAAAAGTATGTATATTCTTGAAACGACTAATTTTTGTAAACCATTAAACCTCTGTAATATATCAAATAAAGAAGATATTTCAGATGGCCATTTATATCTGAAAAAAGTAGGCGTTGAGTGGAGAAATTATAACAAAACTTTTAACTGCACACTACGAATCCAAATATTGGTTCTAATATGTATATTTAATAATAGTAATAATAGTAACAACACGTTTCCTCTGTGATTTATCACGAAGTTGATTTCAAAAAATGTGAAACAAGAACCTTAACTACAAATATTTCAGAACTAGATTTGTAATGCATTTGAGATGAGATATGTATTTATAATGAATCGGAATACAAAGTAATCAAAGTCTGTCCAAACTGAGTATGTGTATATTTGAATCACTTCGAGTTACATACCCCTCATCACCCATTTATGTCACTAGGCAAGAGACTGATGCCATTAAATTAAAATAGTGGGTCGCAGCAGAATGTTAATTGGTGTCTACGAGTAGCTGGCTAATTGGTACCTACGCCAAGGTGACTCTTATCTTAATGATACGACACCCACGTTAACTACTTTAGCTCTTTTTCGAATCGGCTTTAAGTGCAAAAACATTTTTCAAATTTAAGCAAATGTCATTCGTGTTTATATGGCATGTAGTATAGTGGCTAGGAATGTGAATACCTGCCCACCTGTGGCTTATAGGAAATGTTTACGATCTACTTTACATACAATTTTCTCAAATAAATTATATCTGGTCTTTTGAGCTAGTTAATTGAATTAACAATTTAGGCATGCATATTCATTCAATCCAGCGCCATGTGTAGCGCACTGAAGATTGAGCCAAGAATGGACTCGTTTTACGTGCCTCTGTCTCATTAGGTATGGGTTGCCATAAAGGCGGAAAACAATAACTTCTTGTTTCGATTTAAATGTTTTGACCATGTTTCGAACAAATTTTGCTTTCGGCCCGAAAACTATTAAAAATAGTCAAATTTAAAATCAATTAAGACAAATTTATTCTGACATGAGACAAATCTGTAGGAACTCATATCTATGCGTAGGCGTAGAACAGCAGCAGTAGTATCAGCAGCAGCCGTGGCCATAAAACGAATCAAACAACAGGGCCCAAAATCAACAATAAACAAGAAAATTAAACGAACCATAACACACATCGGCTGATGCTGAAGCTCCGCTGAGGTATAAACAAATCATTAGGCGCTTTTAAACGGTTTCTGTATTCAGCGTGCGGCTACCAGCATCCAGCAGTGGACACTCTTTGCTTTTGTTAGACCATTTGTTGGCAGCGCCGCTTTTGTTGCCCATGTGATTTATGCGATCAACGCACGCCATTTGGCTGCCCTGGCAATTTAGAACAGGCTGCCGCCGCCGGCACAGCCGCCAAAGCCGCCACAGCCATTGATACCGCAAACATTGCCGATACTTCGTCTACTTGTATATGTGGCCGCTTGCTGGGCCACCTACGGAGCGATGAATAGCAATTAGTGGCATAAATCAATGACAATCGGCCATCGACGAGAGTGTTGTCTCAAAAGGCAAACAAGCGCATAAATAACCAGCTACAATGTATGACCAGCCGACGGTCACTTGCCACCGCGACGACGCGTCTCTAATTGCTGCGCGTCAACCTCAACGCTGCGGTCCGAGCGCTCTATTTGCCCAGCTGTGGGTGTTCCATAAAAACAAACGCACGCACACCCCTGCACTTACCTAAGCACTTCTTGTCCGCTATTTTAATGTTTGCCCCCAAAATTGTAAATACTCGTATATAGAAGGTGCAACCACGAATGGGCAATACACTGGAATGTAAGAAGATTTTCAATGAATACATACGTGTGGCTTAAACTTCTCTTAGGTTCGATGTTCATCCAGAGATTGTCAAATTGTGTAGTTAAACATAGACTGGCTTAAGGACGTTCTGTTTTATCTCAATTGCTTAATTAATTTAACTGACGTGAACAGGTTCCTAATTGTCACTAATATTTTGAATCTGTTTCTTCTCTTTGTCGATCACATCAATTGCGAGTATTGCACACAAACAGCAATACATGCTCGCTCTTGCCTTGTCAATTTAGGATTTATTAGTGAAATAATTATACATTAAATTCTTGCTCATTTGTTTGATTTTCAGTATTTACTCAATGTTCTTGGAATAAAACAGTCGATTGCTGAATTGAGATAAGCTTATCATAATGATAAGACACATATTAAAAAGTGCTGAGAAAATAATCCGTTCAGAATGTGAATTATGGCCTTTTATGAATCGGGCTTGAATACTGGACATTATGCAATAAGATTACGAAAAATATATTATTGAAGAAAGATTTGAAACGAATATTTTTAAAAGCGAGCAATTCGAGCAATTTCCTTTTTTCAGCAAGCTCATTCTTGCTACAAAATGTCTCGATTAACCCTTTGGCGAGAACAGAAAAGATTTTAGTACACTATATGTATAAAATCAATATTATATTAAAAATACCGATTAGCTTTATTTATTATTATAATTAAATCGTAGTCAAAGCTATGAGAAAAAGACAGAAAATTGAGAAATCACAAACGATGTAGCACAGAAAACTGATCAATAATAATGAAAATCACTAAGCTCTATGCATTTTATACAATATTTATGAAAAATAAAAAGCAACTGTGCTTAAGATTTTCATCCATGTTCATCTTGGTTTGTCATCTTGGTTGTTAATGTATTGCTTTTAAACAGATGCTTTTTAATCACCTGAACAGTTTTTTTTTCCAAGTAACTTCAACTCTCTGCTGACCTTTTATTTTAATTGTCCCCATTGTTAAGTTGTCTTCATACGGCTATAGAAAGCTTAGCAGCTTTTTAAAATGTAATAAGAACGACGTTCAAAATTAAATTATATTTAATTTATAATTATATTTAGTTATGGTCAGTCATTAAATATTTGACATATTTTTTTGAGGAATAATAACTATTTCACATTAAGCTCACAAAGTTTTCCATAAAACCGATAAACTTGTTGCCTTAGCCCTTTGAATATGGAAGTGTGTGATGTAAATAAAGACATTGATTCCATTGTGTTTGCTTATTCTAATGACACACGCGTCGTATACGCAACGAATTTACAACTGTGCGTATACTTATTATTTACATTTTGTAACTTTAGTGCTGCCGTGTGAATTGTAGTGTAAATGCGGAACTGTAAGGCTGGGCTAATGATGTCATTTGTGTGTGTATGCGTGCGTATGTGTGTGTGTGTGTATGGATGATTCATGTGGGACAGGCGCGGGTAGCTGTGAGAAAAATGATTGAATTAAAAGATACACGATGCCGGCCTGCCTCTATCTGCCTCCGACTGGCCATTTGGCTTACCTTGCCTGGCGCTGATTGCGATGATTGCATTGCAAAGTGTAACTGTGCAGAGTGCGCATGCGTAAATGGCAAGAGTGGCCAGCAGATTTTAATCACTTCATTTAAAATGTTTGATTTGCCAGCAGAGCGCGCCCGCCGCCATAAATGCAATTGTCCAAGTAGCCGCCGTTACCGCCGTTGCCGCAGCCGTTGCGGCAGCTATTGCTAGATACGCATCAGCGACGACGCACAGTAGCCGTTACTGTTTGCTGGAGTACGAGCAGTCTACTGATGCCGTTGTAGCATTAGCTGTGGCAGGCACGTAGCTGCTGTTTGCTGTTTCTGTTTCTGTAGCCGCTGCCGCCTGACGCCGTCACATTGCGTGCCACTTGCTGCGATCTCGTTTTGACTTTATTCGAATTCAAACGCAATAACTTGGCCGAAAAAGCGCTGCTGGCCAAAATGCAACAGACAATGTTGCCGCTATTGCTGCCTGCCGTTGTTGCAAGCACAAGCAGATTGTTTTGGCCATTTTTTGACTAAATTTTATGGTAATAACGCAAATTTTTAATTAAATTGTTGGGCCCGCTTGGCGTACTTGGAAATATTTCATACATTCTGCGCATGTTTTCAATTTTAATTGAATTTCATTTGGCAATTGCATGTAGTTGCACTCAACTGCTGCCAACTGTTGTTGCTGTTGTTGTTGTTGCTGGTCTTGTTGCCAGTTGTTGTTAATTTTTTTTAGTTTGTTTGGTGTAGTTGTTGTTGTTTCTGTTGTTGTTGTTGTTATTGCCATTTGCTGCTGGCCATTGACGCTGGCCTGGCAAATATTTACAGCATTTGCATGTCAATAAACTTGGCGCTGTCGATGATTATGCGCCCCAAAACCAACCAATTTCTCTCACTCACAAATACACACACAGACATCCAAACACTCACACAAATACACACATGTATACATATACGGGCAATTGTGCTAAAGTGCCTGCATTATGACGCATTGAGCTGTGCACGTGTCGCTGCTGCCGTCGTAAATCAAATTGTCTAATGATGCATTTAGCGATAAAATATGCCAATACATCGACACCGGGTCACAAACTGCCGCTAATTTACAGCGCATGCAAGCACATGCATGGGCTTGGGCAGAGAGAAGCCAGAACAGGCGGCAAATGGAAGATACAGTGGAGCCTCGTTAGCTGCAATTTGAAAACGTTTGAATTTCTCCTAACTAGCTGGGCAGGTGTGAGAGAAATGTGGATGTCATTGAAAGAATATATCTTTTGTGGTCCATTCCAATTATTCGATATAATTATTTATTAATTATTTGATTGCCAAATGTAAATTTGACGATTGTTATTCAAGTACGTATGTGTTACTTATTATTTTGGAAATTTTACAATTTAAAAACAAACAAAAATTTTAAATTGCATTTAAAATTTTGCAATTTTAAAACAAGTTCAATTTCAAATCTATTTCTTTTAATCTTATTTGTGAAATGTGAAAATTATTTCATAAAGTCTGAAAATATGGTATGGCATATAAAGAAAATTTGTTCAAAAATATTGTTTTTGTGCGCAAGGGAATTTATTGACTAATATAGGAAGAGTTCTCGAATTTTAAGAAATACATCACCACCAAAGAATGTAAAGGTATGCAATTTTCCGATGCTTAAGTAGCGTATTAGGTATTGCAGGGGAACTTATAGTCACTCAAGATAAAGAAAAAGAATAGGTGTATATATAGAATTCTATTAGCTATAACGCTTCTATATGTACTGAGTATAATTAACTGTCTGTTGGAGATGAGGGATGCCGTTCAGCAGAGCTCATCTCTATATCTTTAACACCATTAGTACTTATGTACATATATCGTAACTTATTTGCTTATTTTAAAAATTTTGTTAACGACATAAATTACACGCCAATTGTCCAATTAATATCGAAACCATTTCACAAAAATAAGTAACATATTAGAATTGGAGTAATATGAAAAATGAGGAGTTCAGCTTAATGAGTTTTATTAATTATTTTTTTAGTATATATAAACTACTTGTATAGCAATATTTTATGCTGGTGAGGGAATAGAGTGAGCAATGAGTATAGTTAGTATGTTAACTTTAAGGTTTCAGTACTGAAAAGTTACCCTATGGGGAATTAATTTTATTGATACTTGTTTGCTGATTCGATTTAGGCATGTTCGACTGTATAAAGAAAGAGAGAGATACCAGTGACCATGTGGCGGGGGCTGCATTGGAGGCATTATATGGCATGGCCTATCAAAGTCAAGGTGGAAATTAAATGTTGAAAAATATGTGTGCGCTCTATGTCGGCATAATGCTATTTACATGCGCATTTGTAATTCTCACAGTCGGCCACAACGCGTCGACGTCGACGCTGACGCTGCCGCTGACGTCGTCGTTGGACACAAATCAACACCAATACGAGTGCAGGCGCACATACATATCATACTAATGATGCAAAATGACTTTAACGGCGTTTTTTTCTTCTTCTGTAGTTGTTGCAGCGGCTTTGGCACGACAACAACAGCAACAAATGCCGGCAATGACAGCCAGCCGGGCAGCCAGACTGCCAGACAGCCAACTGGTTCTTTCCTCTCTCTCTCTCTCTCTCTGTCTCTCTCTCTCACTCTCTATCTACGAAATGCAGACATCGCATTTTGCTCTGTGCCGGCGACGTTTTCCTATGAAATAAAGGTCAACTGAGCCAACAAGACAGCGACAACACCAACAATTGCAACAATTGCAACAACAACATAGCCACATTGGCAACATGCACAAGTGTTTTTCTTTCTTCATCTGGCATATGGCTATATAGTATATGTATAGCCGCCGCTTCTTCTTCTGCAGAGTGTGCAATTAAATGACGTCCAAAAAAGATTTATTGCCTAAAGTTTTCAGCTTGACATTTGTTGAACTTATTTGGAGTTTGGTTTTTTATGTACGAGTGTACGTTTTTCCAAGTTTTGCCAACTTTTTGTTTGTTGTATTAATTGTTGAAAATCAATACAAACATAAGTACCAATGCACGCATGTTAATATAAGCAGATAATAATCTTATGTTATCTACAAGTTATCTGTCACTGTTGCATACGAATGTAAGCATAAAGAAT